GTTCTGGGTCATCAAAATTTGCTGTCCTGTTGTCTCTACCCATCTTTCGGAAATTTTCAATTATTTTTGGGCAATAACTTCTTAATGAATCGACCATGTTGTTAGGGAAAAAAAGAAATTGACTGGAAGAGTACAGACTGTTTAACTGTTGTTTTTAATTCAACTTAAGATGTTCCGTTCAATAATCATCGGGATCAAACAGGATCGAAAATCCTGTGTGTCAGATTCTGGCGAAACCCAAGGCATTCCCATAAAATCCTGTCAAACATTTCAGAAACTTAAGTTGTACCTGACAGCAAAAAGCCTAAGTGATTTCAACGTTATTCTAAGCACTTCATGAATATGCAGACAGAGTTAATTCAGAGTTTTTGATTTGAGTTTGCCTTCCTTTAATCGAAAAGACAAAGAGATGAGAAACCTTAATATATCTTCATTCCACTGCTTACAATGAAGTAAGTAAGCCTTATTATTTTTTTGATTAATTATATGGACAAAAGAGAAACATATTATACGCATTGTCATTCGAAAAAGAAAATAACTTTTTTTTGTAATCAAAGAAGAGAACACACATCATGTTTCACATAAATAGGAGCGCCATTATGTAAAACTGGAAGCATAATTATTCTTCAGAAGAAGTGAGTTTTTTTCTTTTTGAATTATGCATATAGACCGATGTCGGTTATTATACATTCAGCGCCCAGCTATGCATCTTTCCTTTTTCCAATTAAGTGATTATTCAAACATAATTTGAAATTCAAGTCGATTTATATTCTCAAACATGCGCTACGATTTATTTAAGGGAATCTTTCCCTCAGAGAAAACCAATTTAAATGTAATCTATCAATTTTTTGATTTATAGCTCGTTAGATACAGCAAACTATTTTCCTTCGAATGTACCACAGTTTATTTATTTTATGATGAAGTTTAAAGATATTACATAGATTTTTTTGAACTCTCATACAGAAGAAAATAATATTTTTTTTTCTAAAAAAAAGTTCGTCTAAAAGTCTTGACAGCTTCTTTGCTGACTTTTGCCAGCGATGGATATGGCTATCATGCGTCGCTATACATGATAAGTGAAAATAACACTTCAATATGAAAGGGCACAGAATAAAATGAAAATAATAGACATTGATTTGTAACTACATCTACATAAGCTGAGCAACAAGTCAAAAACCTTTCATTGTTAGTCCGCCAATGTAATATAATCGATGAATCACTGGCTACTTTCTTGTTTTTAATAAACTTTTCTTTGTCATATTCTCTATCATGATGAGTACCACAAGCTTTAAACAATTTTAGATAATTTGAAAATACTCTTTGATCTATGACAAATTACTTGAAGATTTCTTTTATATCAGTTTATAAAAGAAAAAGTCTTGCTTTTCAGTGTTGAAAGTTATTTTGCTCTTTTCTCATAATGAGAGTTTTTGATTGGAATATTTTCGTGTATTCCAAACTTGCCCGCCATTTTGAATGGTGAAAAGCTAGACTTGGTGTCACAATGAAGGCAAAAGAGTAGCTATAGAGTCTAATAGAGTTGAAGTTTTTTATGTTTCTTTTGATGTTTGTTGACAAACTAATCTTTCTGGATTCACATCTCTTGGTTTTCCGTACTTTATCAGATGAGTTTTCTAGAAATACAACCTAGAAAAAAAAATCGAAAAATCTGACCATGGTATGTTGTAGTGTCATATCTTGGTTACATTTTAATACCAACCCAGGACGAAAAATCCCGAAGTCAGATCCCGTCGGAGCTGATGAGGTCCTGTAAGATTTCTATATGTAAACCAGATATCATCTGCAGCATCGGTGCTTCATTCATTAGCTTTTCATTTTATAATGCGTAATATATATATATATCGATGTAACTGTTTAGTGTGACCCAATGCCCAATTCTATTTTTTTAATATGCATTATAGAAATAGCATGTTAACAAGAAGAATTGGGATATCCCACTAGGCTAATTAGCGCCATTCCATGTCGTTTGTGCCGGCTGTAAATCATATAAAATTGTCTTTTTTTTCTAAAATATTACTTACCTTTCCTTTTGTTGTTGAGATTGATTTAAACAAAAACAAAGAAAAATTTATTTATATAAATGAATACTTATGACTCGTTTCAATGTTGAGATGGATCTAAATAAAGGAAAAAAAGTATTTATTTAAATGAATACTTACTATTCGCTTTGATGTTCAGATGAATCTAACTAAAAAAGAAAACATTTATTTATTTAAATAAATACTTAGTGATCATTTTGATATTAAAGTAAATCTAAATAAGGAGAAAAAAGAAATATTAATTATGTAAATTAATACTTGCTTTGTAATAACTCGTAGTAATCAAAACCAATTGGAGAAAAGGGTCGACTGACCGCGGTGTACTGGCAGCAATTTAACAGACTTGCACGCGGTGTTATCGTATGTTGTCGGATAACGGCGGATCCTATTGTCAGAATCCGATGATATTCGACTGTTGGAAAACCTCGGAAATCAATAGATATAACTGGCCCAGGTCCACTGTTCCGATCGCCGGAACCGTTTGTTTCCTTTGTTTTCCGGCAGCGGATCCTATAGATTCCGTTGGTTTTCGGTCGGCTCCGTTGACTTCCGACGATTTCTTGACTACAGGATTCCGGTCCAGTTTCCGTCGGAAAAATTCCGTTAGATTCCGAAAGAAATCGACGGAATTCAACGGAACCGATCGGTTCCGACGTACCGAGTTGACCTAGAGGTTTCCGACTATCAGCGTTCTCGTCGGATAATGTTGGATAACTCATGGATCCGATAGGATTCTATTGGGCACTTTCGACCCGAGAAGTTAAACTCTCTAGCATTTGTATTGGCAGAGAAAATTAGGACGCACGAAAACCTAAATTTCGACTCATAATCTTACGGTAACTCCTCGTAGGCCCAAGGTATCAAACTGGAAATTTTACTGTAATGTGTCGAGCTCGATTTACATCTACACTGAAAATTTCATCAACATTGAATGCTCAAAAAATATTTTTAAGGGCACTCGTCTTAAAACGTACCATTGTCTTCAAACTCCGTAGTGTGTCCACTACGTTTAATGTCTTTTTGTGATACATGAGTATGGGCACGAAGAATGTTCGCTTCATAAAATAAATCG